CTAGCAACAACATGATCTGCAATTAATCATGAAAACTATTTAAACAAAAAACGAGAAAAAAATATCTCTAAAATATTTATAAAACCAAAAAAAAACTATATCAACAATTTTATCGAAAAGCAACATAATCACACTGTATATACAAGAAACTCCCAGAAAAAAAAAACATATTCCAACACATCTACATTTACACCTTTAAACAAACAGCTTGTTAACAACAACATATCCTTGCAACAAATAAGATATAAAAAAGTTTAAAAGTCAATGCTAAAAATGTCTAGCCCAGATACGGCAAATCCAGAAGCACCACCACCTGCATCAGGTCCAGCTAATGCTGAGGTAAGTTTTTGTTGTTAGCATTAGATTAATTTTTTGTCTAAGTTATTTTAATTTTTTTGTTGCACTATAGTTTATAATTAAAATTTTTTTTGCAAATGAGTTTGAATGAAGTTTTTTTGTTGATTTATAGAAGATTTTTTTAATTCATTTTATATAAATTGTTTTTCGTTACTTTTTATTAATAACTTTTTCAAAATCTTTCTTTACGCTTTATTAAATAATTTTCAAAATTTATGTCTGATTCAGTTCAAATAAATTACATTTTAACTCCCCTTTTCAATTAATATTTTACAATTTTAATCCTCTTATTTTTATTTATTAATTTAATCTTTTAATAATTTGTTTATAATTTAATTGAATTTCATTTATATCAATTGAAATTACAATTTTATTTTTCTATTTTTCCCTAAATACCATTTTGGTTTATTGCCAAATATATAGGAGAAAAAGGACATAAACATCATTCAAGCATTACCACCATTTGATAAATTATTACAAAATCATTTCAAATTCATTTTTCTATTTCAACATTTCAAATCATTTTCTTCTTCCTCTTACCAAAAAAAACTTTATTTGTTTCTCATTAGCGAAATGGTCTTAGTGTCGTCTGCCGCCTGTTTAAACTTGCTGCAGCAGGTACATTTTCTTTCTTGGAGAGAGTCCTAGTTGGCAACGGTCAAAAGGGTTTTTTTCTGGTTTTCTTTTCTAAATTTTATTTCACTAATTTACATAACAAAACATGCTGGTAATTAGGTTTTTAAATGTGATTTCATTTCATAAGGTATGGGTTTACATACATACACATGTAATGTATGTAGTAATCTATAGTTGTTCTTTTTTAAATAGTTGCCAAGTTTACATATAAAGAATCATCGAGATTCTCTTTTTATTCGCTCTTAAAAGCAAAATAGAGATTAAATGAAATGAAATGTTGGTATAAAAAGTGGGTTAATGTTATGATATTATCTATAGTTCAGACTATGGTCTTGACTATAATTTAATCTAAAGTCTCGACTATAACAAGGTCTAAAATCTTGACTATGATCTACACCACAGTTTAACTATAATCTCGACTGCAGTATGGTCTGTAGACCTTTCTATAATCTGGTTTAGACTATATATCAGTCTATGGTCCAGACTATAGACTGATATATAGTTGAGACTATAGACTGATCTATAGTTGAGACTATAGAACTATCTATAGTTGAGACTATAGAACTATCTATAGTTGAGACTATAGAACTATCTATAGTTGAGACGATAGAACTATCTATATTTGAGACTATAGACTGATCTATAGTCTAGACAATATATTTATCTATATTCCAGACTATATAGGATGTAGACTTATCTATATTCTAGACTAAAGACTGATCAATAGTCTGGACTGTAGGCTGATCTATAGTCACTACTGATCTATAATTTAGACCATAGACTGATCTGTAGTCTAGTCTAGTCTATAGACTGATCTAGTCTCGACTATAGTCTAGTCTATAGTCTGATTTATAATATAGACTATAGTCTGGTCAATAGTCTCGACTATATATGGTCTATGGTACAACCTGATCTGTAGTCTAGACGATAGACTGATCAAAAGTCTTGACCATATACTGATCTATAGTCTTGACTATAGACTGATCTATAGTCTTGATTGTAGACTGATCTATAATCTAGACTACAAAGTGATCTATAGTCTAGACTAGAAACTGATCTATAGCCTTGATTATAGGCAGATCTATAGTCTTGACTATAGATTGAACTATAGTCTAGACTACAAACTATAAACTAATCTATAGTCTAGACTATAGGCTGATGTAAAGTCTTATCTATAGACTGATCTATAGTCTTGGCTATAGACTGATCTATAGTCTTGACTATAGACCGATCTAAAGTCTTGACTATAGACTGATCTATAGTCTTGACTATAGGCTGATCTATAGTCTAGACTACAAACTGATCTATAGTCTAGACTATAAACTGATCTATAGCCTAGACTATAAACTGATCTATAGTCTAGACTACAAACTGATCTGCAATCCAGACTATAAACTAATCAATAGTCTTGGCTATAGGTTGATCTATAGTCTAGACTACAAACTGATCTATAGTCTAAACTATAACTGATCTATAGTCTCGACTATAGACTGATCTAAAGTCTTGACTATAGACTGATCTATAGTCTTGACTATAGATTGATTTATAGTCTCAACTGTAGTCTGATCTACAGTCTAAACTGTCAAATGATCTATAGACTATAGAACGATCTATAGTCTAGACTATAGACTGATGTATAGTCTAAACTATAGACTGATCTATAATTTAGACCGTAGCCTGATCAATAGTCTTGGTTAGATGAGCCTATAGACTGATCTATAGTCTATCTATACACTGATCTATATTCTTTACTTAGACTGATCTATAGTCTAAACTATAAACTGATCTATAGTTTAAACTATAGACTAATCTATAGTCTAGACTATGGACTGATCTATAGTACAGACTATAGACTAATCTGTAGTCTAGATGGTAGACTGATTTATAGTTTAAAATATAGACTGATCTATAGTCTAGACTATAAAATGTTCTATAGTGTAAACTATAAGCAGATCCATAGTCTATTTTATAGACTGATATATAGTTTGATTTATAGCCTGGACTATAAACTGATCTATAGTCTGGACTATAGACTGATCCATAGCCTGCACTATAGACTAATCCTGGATAAACTGATCTGGACTGTAGATTGATCTATTGTCTCGACTAGAGTCTGGTCTATCCACTGTTCTATAGTCTGGTTTAAAGTCTTGCCTCTAGTGTGATCTATAGTCTCGATTATCTATAGGTCTCCACATACCACTTCACTCACTTTTCTTCTTCAATTATCTTTTAATTTTTCATAAATTTGTTTCTTTTACAATTTTTTCTATTCCAATTTTTCAACGAAATTTATTTCAAAACAACTCACTATCAGTATTTAAAACTTAATTTAATATAATTTATTAATTTCAATTGACCCTCTAAACACTTTTGCTAAGAGGCCAGCTTCAACCATTAATTTGCAAAGATTTAGTTTCAAGTACTTTTACTTATTATGATTAATTTGAAATTAATGGAAAATAATTTCTTGTTAAATTTTATTTTTATTTTTTGCTTGAGCTTTTTTTTATCCTTTATTTAAAGATTTTATTAACGTTAATATTGAGGCTTAAATGTTTGTTGTTTGCTTAACTTTTTGCCTTAATTTTGTTATTATTATTTATTTTGGTTTTATGTTTTAACCAGAGAATAAGTAGAATATTATTATGGCCTTGTTGTTTTATTTATTTGTAAATCCCTTAAATGGAAAATAAAATGAAGCAATGAGAAGAGAGTTAGATTTGACAATTGGTTGGTAACATAATAAGGATTAAACGGGATGCGTCTATAGTCTTCACTACATTCTGTAGTTAAGACTGTAGGCTGGCAATGGTCTCGACTAATGTTGGGTGTAAAGAGTGGACTATATAGTAGTCTCGATTACAGTCTGGTTTATAGCTTCAACTATAGTGTGTAGTCTGGTCTATAGTCTCGACTATAGTCTGGTCCATAGCCTCGACTATAGTCAGATCTGTAGTCTCGACTATAGTCTGGTCTATAGTGTCGACTATATTCTGGTCTATAGTCTCGACTATTGTCTGGTCTATAGTCTGATTTATAATCTAGACTATAGTCTTGACTATAGTCCCAACTATAGTCTGGTCTATAATTTCGACTATATTCTGATCTATACTCTCGACTATAGTCTTGTCTATAGTCTCGACTATAGTGTGGTCTATAGTATCGATTATAGTCTGGTCTATAGTATCGATTATAGTCTGGTCTATAGTCTCGACTATAGTCTGGTCTATAGTCTGGTCTATAGTCTGATTTATAATCTAGAATATAGTCTGGTCTATAGTCTCGACTATAGTCTGGTCTATAGTCTTGACTATAGTCTGATCTATAGTCCCGACTATAGTCTGGTCTATAATTTCGACTATATTCTGATCTATAGTATCGACTATAGTCTTGTCTATAGTCGAGACCATAGTCTGGTCTATAGTCTCGACTTTAGTCTAGTCTATAGTCTCGACTATAGTCTGGTCTATAGTCTCGACTACAGGCTGGTCTATAGTCTCGACTTCAGGCTGGTTTTTAGTCTCGACTACAGTCTGGTCTTTAGCCTGGACTATAGTCTGGTCTATAGTCTTGACTATAGTCTGGTTTATAGTCTCGACTACAGTCTAGTCTATAGTCTCGACTATAGCCTGATCTATAGCCTCGACTATTGTCTGGTCTATAGTCTCGACTAAAGTGTGGTCTATAGTTTTGACTAGAATCTGGTCTATATTCTCGACTATAGTCTGGTCTTTAGCCTTGACTATAGTCTGGTCTATAGTCTCGACTATAGTCTGGTCTATAGTCTCGACTATAGTCTGTTCTATAGTCTCGACTACAGTCTAGTCTATAGTCTCGACTATAGCCTGATCTATAGTCTCGACTATAGTCTGGTCTTTAGTCTCGACTATAGTCTTGTCTATAGTCTCGACTATAGCCTGATCTATAGCCTCGACTATAGTCTGGTTTATAGTCTCGACTACAGTGTGGTCTATAGTTTTGACCAGAATCTGGTCTATATTCTCGAATATAGCCTGGTCTATAGCCTCGACTATAGCCTGGTCTATAGCCTCGACTTTAGTCTGGTCTATAGTCTCGACTATAGTCTGGTCTATAGCCTGTTCTATATTATCGACTATAGTCTGGTCTATAGTATACTATAGTGTACTCTATGGTCTCATTTATACTCTGGTCTGTGGCCTATATAGTCATACGATACTTTTGCTTCGTCTTAGTTTTCCTTACAATTATTGCTTGTTTTTCACTTAAAATCGTTTCCTATTTTTTTGCATGCCCGTTTAGTTACAATTTGTTAGATAATAAACTTCAAAGATTTATAAATACTATATATAAGGAATAAAATA